CCCTCCTAGATTACTCTTCCACTCTAATCTATCTCTTAAAGATCTTTGCCATGTACATTGCGCAACACACACAAAGAAAATGGCAAATAATGTCAATCAAGAAACGACCTCCTAGGCTAAGGCGTCATGAATTAGGAAACTCTAGCTCAAAATCCATGAAATACCTAGCCTACTATCTAGCATGTATTTCTAATAGCTCATGAGTCATTTGGCACATAATATAAGCAAATAAGGGTATTTTAGGAAATCACCGCTTGGGCTCTAACTGATTGTACACACTGTTTAGTCTTGTGTCCTCTTAAAATTCTTTGCTCGTTTAGAAAATCATTTCTTTTTGAAAACTTCCTCAAACCTCAGTTTGAGTCCAGACATACCCGAGGGTACATCCGAATCCATCAAACCAAGGCTCTGATGCCAACTTGTAACACTCAAAATTTTCAAACAAAATTTTCCAAATTGCAAAAACTCCAAACATACATAGTTTAATATTTATCAAGCCAATTTGAATTTTTCCCAAACACAGAACATTGAACTTTATTTATTAAATATCCAACTATCCTCATAAACACAAATCATCAAGCTGGTGTGTACAAACATGCTGATGCTTTCCCGCGATCCTAAGATGTACATGATACACATTTCACACAAACATTGTAATCACAAAGCTTAGTGAGTTCCCCAAAATAGCACAAACACAAATAATTAGCCTTTCATGGTTATATCTCCATAAGTACCATCTAATCATGTGTCTTAATGAAGACCCTATGGTCTCACGGTTCGGTATGGACCCTCCGTTCCTATGTCTCGGCGAAGACCCTCTGGTCTCACAGCTCGGTATGGACCCTCTGGTCATAAATCAATATATACAAAGACTAATATAACATCATCATTCACAAAGACAGTATGCATAATATCACATAACTCAGTATAAGCAAATAAGACCCTTCGGTCAATAACACAATTAAGACCCTTCGGTCACACAATAATTACCAATCAGGTAAGTATAGTGAGAGGACTCACCTCGTAAAGTAAAGCAAGTATATCCCGCACCCGAACGGCCGACCTAGACTCCGCCTAACATATATCGCATATTGCTCTAACTAATAACTGATATTAACAAACATGGAAAGTTTTTTAGCTAGACTTCACTAATAATCTCAGAAGGGTAAAGGATTATTTTACCCCTCCATGGCCTCCAAGGTCTATAACATGACCAAAACCCTAAAAGTCAACGAAAGTTAACACCAAGCACGTTCGTTGGGCGCACAACCTTCTATGATGGGCGTACAACTGCCCATGCATGTAACGGAGGTGGCTCAGAGCTACACTACGTGTAGCTAGGAGTACGCTCAACGTACGTCCCAAACTTACTTTTCTCACTCTCCCAGTCTTAATCTGTTAAGACCATAGCTACAATCTCAGATCTAGACTAACTAGAGTCTATTACTTCACAAAGTTGGTGACTTTAAGCCTTAGCATGGCAGGTCAAGTCTAAAACTTATAAATTCTCATCCTTTACTCATAAAAGTCCTCATATATCATGCACGGAGAGATATTGACGACCAAGATCTCATTTTATGAGTCCAACCAACTAGAAACACCTAAATGAACATGTATTAGGCTATGGAGTTCATCAAACTCGTAAAGCTTCAAGATTTGGGGACATAAACCATAAAAGGACCAAAACATGAACTAATAAAAACAATGAGAAAGCTTTTAGCTTGATACCTCTAAATAATGCAACAACCACAGGGAAACTAAGATCCAAAAGCTTGGACATCAAATCTTCTTCCTTCAAATCTCCTTCTTCACAAAAGAATCCCACAGGATCACTCCTTAAGCCTCAAATGCTCACACAAGCTATGAAAACGAGATTTAGGGTTTGAAGGGAGTTGAAGGCTTGAAATGGTGGCTAGAAAGGAGGCCACCATGCTCCTTAAATAGGGACGCACAACACAATTAGGATTTACACTCTAAGCCTAGTACGACCAGCGTACCCTCTGGTACGCCCCGCGTATAAAGTGGCCTCCGCGTCCATAATACGCAGATGAGTACGCTGAGCGTACACATATGTACACCTCGCGTACTCATCTAACACCTTTTTCTCAATTAAGGGCCAGTTTTGACAATTCAATAAAAGTAAGGGTCATCAATAAATACCTTATTTTGGGATGTTACACATACTTATACATGGCATACTGAAGTTAGGGGAAAACCCTAATTTTTAGTAGGAGTATGTCTAGCGTACTTGGTGAGGTGGGATTTTGAAGTTTTGGGCCATTATTGGATCAAGATTCTCTTAGGCTTCAGACCTTAACTGGATTTTGGGTCATGGGTCTGCTAGGCCATGGTTGGGCCTTAGGTTTATGAGTTGGATCAGTTTTGGGCTTTTGGGTTATTATTGTGTTTTTGGGCTACCTCAGTTAGGCCAATTAAGGGAAGCGTAAAATAGTCTTTTACCCTAGGAGTGAGGTTGAGGAGTCGGGACCTTGGTTTTGGTTATTGACCTAATAATTAATTAGGGTTTTATTTGTTTGGTTAGTGAGGTGATCACTATCTACAAGAGCCTACATATTACATTATCAGTGGGATCGAGGTTAGTTTGCTACTTATATTTTAGGACACTAAGATATGTTATGTGCTTATATTATATGGGACTCCTACTGTATGGGTTATATGCCTGTGTGCATGTTTGCAACATGTATGTTGGGTAAAATAGATGTGAGGGTGAAATAGACCTGATACAGCCTTGTGCTGACACATGGAGGTTAAAAGGTCTTTAAGTAGGGGTCAAGTCCGTATCTAGGGATTTTCCCTGCAGTTGTGTATGCTCGGTGTCCCCTTATGTATGGTCCAAGAGGTTAATAGTTGTTCACCACCATAAGCCTTCTTGATTGATATTTTTTATTTAAACTACTTCCACTTGAGCTGGATCTACTTGAACTGGTTCCACAATACCTACTATACAAATGAGTAGTTAATGAGTTGCATTTTGCAGTATAATTACATTGTTTTAATGGTATACCTTTTTCTGTTTTATGTTTTTAGCTTTATTCTTTTTTGGTAGTGAAGTGGATGTTGCATCTTTTGGTCTTATAGGATGTGTTGATCTACTGTGGCCCGTTTCTCTACAAATGGTGAATCTCATAACTACACCTCTTTTTAAGATAGTATGCCTTGTTTTCCCCTGGATTTCCCTCTTAGATTTATCTCTTTTCCTTTTAAGGGTTGGCCTTCCTGGTAACCTTCATTTTTGGGGAGGCAATAGCCTCATGTAGGGAACTTCAGGCCATATGGAACTACCATTAAGTGGATTAATGGTGTGGTTGTAACAAGTCAAGAACATGGATGTGTGGAACCATGGTGCAACATAATCGTCTGCATTCCTGTTGAGGTATGAAATGGTTGCCACTACATGCACACATGGGATACCTGATACTTGCCAAGATCTACATCCACATGTGTTGTTGCTAAGATCCACAACATATCCATCATTTCCAATCCTAACCTCATATTATTGTATCCCAGAAGGTATAACTCCCCAAAATCTACCCACAAAAATAAGAAGTTCTATTAATCTTATAGATGAGAAAATAATACTTATAAAATAGAAGTTATATCATACCTTTGTTGTTTCTTTAACTTTGATATCTTTAATCTTATAGATGGACATATTTTTAAATTCCCCCAACACTGTCCCTCTAGCAACATTTTATACATCCTCTCCATTGCATAAATTCTAATGTCTTCCAACATGGTGAGCAGTGGCCTCTTTCTAGCAAGATCAATAACAGAGTTGAAAATTTCTGATATGCCATTCTCATATGCATCACAAGCCCTGTCCACTTCAAAGAATGCCATGCACCAACTTTTAGGGTCCCTTTCCATAAGGTGATCATAAGCTAAAGGGTCAACTTTTTTTATAGAATTCATTTTTGCCTTAAATTTTGGTTGAGTAGTACTAGCAGCTGCTACCCAAAACAAGTTCCTATATTGTTCACCTTTGAATCTTTTCTTGAAGTTAGCATAGATGTCCCTAGCACAATGTCTATGCTTTGCTGCTGGAACCCTTTCCTTGACAGCCTCTATTAATCCCTGAAAAAAAAAACTTGAAATAAATGACATAACAAAAACATTCAACTCAAACAAAACAAAACTGAAATATACCTTGTGTTGTTCTTATATGAAGGTTAATCCATGACCAAATCCCATTTCAATGTCATCTAGAAGGAGGTGAAGAAACCACTTCCATGTTTCCTTATTTTTAACTTCCATCACAGCCTATGTAATAGGGAAGATGTGCTTGTTTGTGTCCCTACCCATAGCTGCTAAGAGTTGGCCTATACATATACCCTTTAAAAAAAACCATCTACCCATATTTCCCTTCTACATGCTGCAATCCAACCATACTTCAAACCCTTAAAACAAACATACATTTTAGAAATGAATGTGGTGGAATGAAGCATGACATTCACATCTATCTTTACTGTTGAACCAGGATTTGTCCTCAATATTTCTTTTCCATTACCCCATACTTTACCATAATTTTCTATCAAACTACCCTCTATCTCATCCAAAGCACGTCTCCTAGAATTTCTACATAGAGTGACACTAACAATCAAGTTAAACTTTGTACTTTCATTAGCTTTCATTTTCCTTATGCTCATTTTTGGGTTCTTCAAAAGTTGATACTTAAAATGCTTTCCAATCCATTTATATGTTACAATGGAACCAACTTTGAAGATTCTTGAACAGTTATGGTCATCAACTAAGGACTTAATCTTGAAAGGACTTTCACTACTCATCCAGGAAGCCTATAGTCTAAAAGGACAAGAGGGGTTCTTGTTATCTTTACAACATCCCACTAATAACCTCTTACTATCATTTTTCTCAAAATAAAGGTTGTACCCATTCTTCAGTGCATAGTTAGTCAAACAAGTTTTCAATTCCATGGGGTTAGAGAATCTCATACCTAGAATTCACACCATTTTGTCCAATTTCTAGTTCTCATTATGGACAGGGTACACTGGTTTTTCATCCCCATTCTTGGTTTCAACCTCATCAGTTCCAGCCTCATCATTTATATCCTTACACATGCCAGGCACCCGGTCTAAGAATTCATCACCAATAGTCTTGTCAACAGAAGGAATGTAATCATCTGCTTCATGCTTATATGAAATATCATCACAAAGTTGTGAATCATTATCATCATCTGGGTCTTCCTCAGAATAATGCTCTTCATCATCTTCTACTACTTCCAAATCTGCCCAATCAAGTATAGGTTTATTTTCTTGGTCTATATACACATTCATTCTTAGACAGGCTTCATCACTATAACCCGTTTGAATAAACTCAAAGTAGTCAGCATTCATCACATTCATTCATTCTCCTAATACCCTCTGCCAATGGTTCATTTCTAGTGCGATAATATACATTATCGCAATTGCCTTCAATCAACTTTGCAATGAACAACTTAAACTCTTTGAGATCTATTGTGCCAAAATCAACATCACAGATTGAAACAACAACAACGTTCAAGTACACTAATGGTTTTGGTGTGAATAAACCATTATAATGTATATGAATTATCAAATACTTACATTGTTTGGAATTAGAGGCCATCTTCTTCACTATAACACTGACATTCACCAGTTCCCTTCCATTTCATAACCGTATTCTTTGATTTAATTATTTTCTTCAATTTACCGAACCCTAACTATAAGGAGAAAGGGGGTGAAACAGAAACGGGTATTAAATGTGTTCTAAGTCGACGTAATATGACATGCCATCTCTAATTAAATGTGGTAACCGGTAAAACAGGTGATAACAGGTCGCGATGGTTTTGGTGAGCAGGAATACTAAGTTCAATGGTATAAAAAAAAGATATGAGACCTAATGAATACAAGAGTAACAGTTTATTACCCTCAAAGGTCATTTTCCCTAAAGATTTAATCACCATTTTTATGCAATATACTTCTAGTTTTAAATGTAGTGCATGAGCTTTATTTGTACCAATTAAACGTGACTTATCCTCCTAGGAATGATTGCTTTTAATCATGATTCATCTTAATATTTATTTAATATTTTTTTTGTTAGCTATTGTGGTTGATATTCAAGTAAGGATTTATTTAGTTTTTAAACTTTTTTTAAATAAAAAAGTCTTTTGGCATATGGATATATTTTTTTTATTTGTTTATTAATTGATATAATATTGTTACCAAAGTAACTTCTATTGCTCTAATCAAATTGCTCATAAATATATTAAGTTTTATATCATATATTTTTTTTTATGTAAACTGAGTTAGACCTAAAGGTAGACACAATTTTACAAATATTTCAGGTTGTCAAAAGGCTAATTTTACGACATTTTTTTAAAAGTAAATTAATTAACATAATATATCATAAAAGTTATCTTTTTTGTGAAAGTTAATTTATAGAAAACTAAAATACTTTGTTTTATGTGTTTATTAATGTGGATATAACCGACCCTAAGTATGTTAATACTTAGTCGAATAAACACATCTTTGGTAGTAAATATTTGACAATTTGTTTTCGTTACATATCATTAATAAGTCAATCCAAATATGAACTTTTTTAATTAACATGATTTATTGTCGATGTTTATTATTAAATTGTATGGTTTACATGTTAATTAATGCGAATATTAATCGATCCAAAGGTAGGTTAATATTTGGTAAGATAAATACATGTTTGATGATAAATATGTGACAATTTTAGATTGCATGTCATTAATAAGTCAATCCAAAAAATGATTTATTAATTGATATGATTTATTGTCAATGTTTATTATTAAATTTTATAGTTTATGTGTTTGTTAATTAGCTGAACAAAAAGGTTGTTTAATACTTGGCTCTATAAACACATATGTGGTGATAAATATGTGGTAATTATTTTGGTTTCATTTGATTAATAAGTCAATCCAGAAAAGAGATTGTTAATTGACATGATTTATTGTCATTCTTTTATCACTATAACAATGATATATTTTGCAAGTTAGTATTACTATCCAAAGACATGATATTAATGTTGGGTCAATATCTCGTAAGGATGCCATAAATTTAATTATTGATTATGGTTTATGGATTAGTGAGTATAAAACTAAGATTAGTTATGTTCTCAAAACAACACATTTAAATTCTAGCATTATATCTGCCAAAGTTAATCACATTTATGATTCATGTAATCAATGAGATTAACTTTTTGGAATAAAAGGAATACACTATGTTAGTTCTCAGTTGCATGGATATTGACTTTGCATTTCGGATAAGAGCAACATTCTATATGGATGTTGAGTTTTGGGGTAAGCAAGGTTAAAAACATTGTCTTTAAGGGGGAATCAATCTTGATTGATATGATTATTTTTTATTGAATGAAATTTATGAATCAGGGACCGAAAATGTCATTTAATCTCCTATTCAAAATGAACAAATTTAACAACCCCAACTTAGGATACCCAATCTGTGGTCCCATAAGTTTCATCAATTTATTATATCGTTTTGTTTTGAGGTAAATACATTAAATGATTGCGTATATCAAAAATTCAGTGGGAGTAAATATATCTTTCTAGTTTGTATGATGATGACATATTGTTTGCCATCAATAATTTAAAGTATTTTAAAATGAAGGATATTGGGCAAGTGGGAAGCCTATTTTGTATTAGGAATCCACATTCAACATGACAAATCTTCTAGAATTCTAGGATTGTTACAAAAGAGCTACATCGATAAGATCCTTGCAAGATTTTGCATGCGAACTACAAACCAAGTGACACCCTTGTTTCTAAAAGAGACAAATTTAGTCTTAATTAGTGCGCTAAATTTAACCTTAAAGTTAGAGAGATGTAAAATAATCCTTACGTTTTTTGTTAGGAATCTACTGTATGCTCAGCATGTATATGTCCTTATATTATAGGGATGTTGGGAAAACATCTAAGGTATCAAATTATGGGTAATGAAGAAACCTACAAATGGGTTTTGAGGTATTTATAGAGAACAAAAGGCTATATGATTAAATATAGGTAATTGGATGTTGTCGAGATCATTTGTATTAGGAATTTGATTTTATTAGATTCCAAAATGGTTACCTATCCATATCGGGATACTTTTACATGTTACCATGATGAGCCATTTCATGCAATACACTTTAGTAGCTTCTTCCATAATGAGAACATAATTTGTAGCATGTTATGAAGCATTAAATCGTGGAATATGGTTACAAAAATTTGTCACAGGGCTACATATTATTGGTATTGAACAACCACTAAAGTTTTGACAATAAGTTAGCAATATTATATTCCAAAAACAGAAATTCTACTAAGTCAAAGCATATTGACATCAAGTTTTTGGTTGTTAAAAAAATAGTGCAAATTGACAAATATTTATAAAACACTTATATATAAACATTGTATAGCGGATTAGATCTTAAAGGGACTACCTCCCATGGTCTTTCGTAAGAAACTACACACGTTGGTGTGGTAATTTGTTTTAGTTGGAGTTTTGTTGGTGCTTTATGTTTTATTTAAGAACAATTATGTTTTTTCTATACATGTTAAGGATTATTTTAATTCCATTATTAGCTACACTTATTTGAAGTTTGATCTCACTTCAAGCTAATGAGGAACTCATAGGAAATTTATTTTGATCTCAAAACCAACCATTCATGGGTTTAGTTATGTAAATTGGAACGAAGACCACTTTGATCCTTTACTATTATGATTAATGGACAAGATTATCTAAGGGTACCAATACTATGATAACATTCATTAAAGAGCTTATACGGTTATATATACATATATATATATATATATATATATATATATATATATATATATATATATATATATGTGTGTGTGTGTGTGTGTGTGTGTGTGTGTGTGTCTCTGTGTGTGTGTGTGTGGTCTAATCGGAGATTGTTAGATACTTGTGGGACCACTTCATAAATATGTATACGTTATCATTAAATTCGATTATTATGGTAAGAATATAAATTGTCGATGGACCACTTTATAGGATATTCACTTACCTTTCAGTGGTTGAATTTCCGGTTTGACTCAAGATCCACAAGATACATGAAATACACATGTAAATTCGTTCAGGGTTTGCATAGGGATTCTAGAGAGATTTCTTGAAATCAAGTGGAAAACCCTACTTAATTCTTCAGATCCGAAGATCATAATGATACAGGTATGTAATCGTTTTTTCAATTTTAAAGTTTTCTTTAGACAAATTCGAGAATCAAGATCTAAAGTTGTGTTTTCTCATTTTATGTTTTTGTTAACAAAATTACTAACATTTTTTTCAAGTCAAATCAATTAAGTATGATGCTATTTCATGCATTTCTTTTACCAAAAAGGGCCTAAATTCATGAAATAGCAAGTTAAGTCAACAAATTCATGGTAAAAGAAGCTTAAATGCATGAAATAGAAAAATACATATCTATTTTCTACACTTGGAGACATAAAATGACTTGTGTAATAAAAAGAGTAAATTATTTTTTCTTGAAGTCAAATCAATTCAAGTATGGAAGGAAGATAATGACAATCTGCATCAAGAACTGCAATCACATTGTTGTGTGAAACTTATTAATAATAGAGCCATAATGTCAACATGTCTTCTTGAAATGACAAAACTACCATTCACTAGCGAATTTAGCCCTAAAGGGTCATCAGGGTTGAGTTTAGTTAACGGAGAGCAGATCGAATGCAACACTTGCAAATCACACGGACAATATAACTAATTCAACTTTTAATTCATATTAAATACTTAAAAAAGAAAATTTGGTATGTGTTATTCAATATAACAATAGTTCAACAATCCAAATTCCAAAACATCTTGTGTTCAATGTAACAAGAATATTGATGTAAAGTGGAAATATTATTCCCGTTATCACATTCATCATTTTAAAAATGGATTTTTTTCATCAAAAGTAGAAATCTCATCAAAATTCAAGCACATCAATTTGTTTTCAAGTGGATTAAAATGATATTGTATTTCGTCCTGTATTAATTTCTTCAATAATGAGTAAGTATAAAACCAATAACCGACGGATTAACTTGTAGTGTAATTTATTGTAATAAAACTAATAACACAGTAAATAAAAAAAAATCGTCAGATCGCATGAGACCTACCTATATTCTGTTCATTACACTTTTTGGCTACTTAAGATTCAATATGTCCATACTCCATCCTAAAGATTCAATATGTCTATACTCCATCCCACCTGAAGTTACCAAAATATTGTTGCAAAACTAAAAATCAATTGCAAACGACCTTCAATACCTATGATTTTAAATAACAAAATCCACATTTTCATGCCTAATAATTTTGTTATCATTAATGCGATGCCTATACTTCGAGACCCA